CCCTAAACAAACTCTTTTGCCTATTCAAATTAGAAGACACAAAGAAGAATGTTCATAGCAGCTTTGCTTATAATAGCAAAAATTAAATACAACAATCTACAGTTAATACAACAAGATAGATAAATCTTAGAAATGCAATGCTGAGTTTAAAAAGAGTGTTGCAGATGATTGCTAAAACAAGTTAAACACAAGCACAACTAAACCACATATTGCTTAGGATTAGACACTATAATACATTTTTTTTTAAAGCTAGGTCATGATAAACACAAAACTCAGTTTGCCTGTAGGAGAGGGGTACACAATGGTATGAGACTAGGGGGAACCGGTTTAAATGACATTTTTAATGTTATAATTTTAAGACTGTTGGGGTTCACAGATCCATTGATCATTTTGCTTCATAATTTCTTTTTTTTGTAATAGTTTCTTTTTGTGCATATTATACAAGGTGGGATAACTTTTTTCCCAAATGAATCAAATATTTAAATGTAAACACTGAAGCCACTGAAATACTAAAAGAAATCGCAGTATAAATTTTAAAAAATAGTCTTGGAGTGATAAAGACCTTTCTAAGTATAACAAAAAATCCAAAGTAAAAAAAGATCGAGGGATTGAGCAAATTGTACCATATGCAAAGTTAAAAGACAATAACCAACTTGAAAAAACATGTGCAACTCATGACAAGACCAGAGTGAGTTTCCTTAATACATACTTTTACAAATCAGTAGGAAAAGTCAACCCTTTATAGAAAAATAAGCACAGGACATGAACAGATAGTTCACAGAAAAGGCAACACAAATAGCCTTTAAACTCATGAGAGTGTGTTCAGCCTCACTCAGAGTAAGAGAATTGAAATTCACAGCGATACCACTGCTATACTATTGAGAAAGAGGGAATGATGGGAATCACTGCTTATTGCAGTCATCTGGCAACCCCAGAATGATTTACCTTCACTCTTTGAAGTTTAAACTCCTGGGTCATTATATACACTCTTGAACACTTGGTCCTGTCATAATCCTTGGCGATTTCAACATCAATATAGACAGATGATCCTTCCAATTCACTGTCCTCTCCATTCCTTGATTGCCTTTTCTCCAAGGACCTTGACTCCACCTTGATGGCCACACATTACCAATGCAACCCCCAATAAACCCACTCCCCATCCACTTACTAATTTCCAGCTCAACCCCCAACTGGTACCTCAACTCCAACAATCTTTGCCCCATCAGAACCTGTGTTCATTCAGTCATATTCCTCTCCTTTTCCAGCTTTAATCCCTTGTTCCATCTTTTGTAAATACCCCCTTGCATATACTTTTCATTCCCTTACCCTCTCATGTTTTGTTGTACTCAACTGGCAAACCCCTAACTCTGGTTTTATGCAACCACTCAGCTGTTCTGCACCTGCACCTGTGAAGCTCAACATGGCTGGAGAAAGTTCTCACTAAACTTATGACAATAAATCTCAGGTGGAATCACAGTATTCTCCTGGTCCATTCACTCTCCTAGACACCTATGCCATGTCCTCTAGCGTCTCGCTCTCTGTCTCATCCTCAACTGTTGATGTTGCTTCCTAGTTCATTGAGAAAACAGAGCCATCCGAAGAGAACATTGACAAGCTTCCACTAGGATAGACCCATTTACCCACTTCAGCATCCATGTTCTCTGTTTTCCCTGCTTTTCCATGGATGAACTGTCTATAACCCCAGCTAAAATCAGTTCCTCTACCTGTGCATTAGGTCTCATTCCCTTTGTTAATGAAAGGATATTGCTTCAGCAATTTTCTCTTCTCTTTCTTGAAGCCTCATTTTCCTCTTCCCTACTGGATTATGTTTCTCATCAGTGCATGAACAAACGATATATATATTTTTGGCCTTACTTTGTGCGCCAGCCACCATCTCATTTCTTTGCCCCCTTTAGAGTAAAATTCAAGAGTTCCTCTACTCATTGTCTCCAATCTCTCTTGTCCCATTCTCTCTTAGGTGCAATTCTATCGGGCTTCGGCCCTTTTGCTCCGCTGAAATGGCACCTGTGAAGGTCACCGATGTTTTCCACGTTGCTAAACCTAATGGTCAGTTCTTAGTCTTTTTATCATACTCATGAGCAGCATTTGGTACAGATGCCTCCTTCTTGGGACATCTTCTTATCTAGGCTCCAAAACACGACATTCCCCCGATTTCCCTCTTCTCGGGCTGACTTCTCATTTTCCTCTGCTGGCTCCACATCTCCATGACCTAAACACTGGCCTCATCATTCTCAATCCTCCCACCCCCAACACACACACACAATGGCTTCCATGTCATTCACAGTAAAAGCCAAACACTGGACATCCCAGGATTCAGTTCTTAGACCTCTTCTGTTTTCTATCAACACTCATTCCTCAAGGATTTCATTCATTCAAATTTACATTTGCAGCCTGAACCTTCTCTTTAGACCCATACTCATATTTTCAGCTGCTTTCTCAACTCACCTGGATGTTTAGTGAGCGTCAGAAACACAACATGCCTGGACCAAACTTCCAATCTTCCTACCCCCAAGCCTGCTTTTCCCCAAATCTCCCCCTTCTCAGTAAACTTCATCCTCCTAAATTGATCAGGTCAGAAAACTTGGAAGCATCTTTGACCTCTTTCTCTCTCTCTCTCTCTCCTGTTCCATAACAAATCCTGTCAGTCCTGCCTATGAAATAAAATGCATACAGAATCCAACTACTTCTTACAACCTCCCCTATAAGCTTCCTGGTCTCAGCCTCCATCATGTCTCACCTGGGTTATTGCAATGGATTCCTAACTTATCTCCTTGCCTCCTACAGGTCATCATCAACACACAGCAGCTACACTGGTCTTGCTAAAATGTAAGCCAGCCCTTATCATTCTCAATCCCCCCACCCCCAACACATGCAATGGCTTCCATGTCATTCAGAGTAAAAGCCAAAACCCTAACACTGGCCCACAGCATGGCCTGCATTCAGCCTGAGGTCCTGCATGGTCTTGCTGTATTCCACCCCACTTACTGCTACTGACATCATCTCCTCCTACTGTTCCTCGCCTCCAACAAACTGGACTCCTTGCTGTTTCTTAAACACTGCAGGTACACTCCTGTCAAGAACATTCTTCCTTCCAACAGATACATGGCTCACTCTCTTACTTCCTTCGGGTCTTGGCTAAAATGTCATCTTTCCAGTGAGGCTTTAACACTCTTAAATGGAAAAATCCCCTCCTGCTCTTCCTTGATGGTTTTTCTTTCCTTGTAGCTGTTATCACCATCTAACATGATATACATTTTATTCATTTAGCTACTTGATGTCTATCTCCCCTTCCAGATTGTAAGCCCATGAACACATGGCTTTTTGTCTATTTTGGTCACTGCTTAATCCACAGTATATATGAGAAGAGATCTTGGCACAGATTAGATAGATGCTCAATAATTATTTATCGAACAAATAAACAAAATACTGAATTAGCCAGAGTGTAGGGGATAGGCGTTCTCAAAATTGCTGGTCTAAATGCAATTGGCATAACCTCTACAGCAGTCAAATTGGCACTAACTATCTAAATGAAAAATGCACATATCCTTTGCCCTGACAATCTTATTTCTAGTAATATCTTCCATATAAATTGACACGTGTGAAATGATACATGGACAATGCGATTCACTGCCACATTATTCATCCCTGAAAAGAATGAAAACAGTCAAAATGTCCAGCAATAGCAGACTGTTTAAATAAATTATTGTGTACCTGTATAATGAAATATTTTGCAGTAGCAAAAAAGAATAAGGAGATTTCTTGTGTCCTATACAAGCTCAATGATTTATATTTTTCAGAGAAAAAGCAAGATGCTGAAAGCTGTGCTTCATGTGTCATCATTTTTATAAAAAATAAAGGAAAAGAAAAGAACATATACCTTTATTTTCCTCTATATGCACAGTCTGTCTCAGGAAAGATACACATGAAACTGGTCATAAGGGTGGCTTATTTGGAAGGAAATGGATGAGAGGGAGGAAGAGGTGGATGACATTTCTTGAATACTCTTTTTTTAAACTTCTTAAATTTTTGCACCATGTGAATGCATTATCAATTAAAAGGAAATACAGTATGGTTTACATTCCAATATGAAACAATATCTAAAATATATTGTGACCATAAAAAGTAAGGTCCAAAGTGTGTGTGTTATACACAAGGGTGGAGGACAGACTTACTTTTATTTACTCTTTTGTACCTTTTGTTTGTTTGGGGTTTTTTTAGAGACAGGGTTTCACTGTGTTGCCCAGGCTGGAGTGCAGTGGCCATTCACAGATGTGATCATAGCTTACTATAGCCTCAAACTCCTGGACTCAATCAATCCTTTTGCCTCAGTCTCCTGAGTAGCTGGGACTACAGGCACACGCACCATCACACCTGGCTTTTTGTACCTCTGAATTTTGTACCTTATCTAGGCATTTCCTAGTCAAAATGATACAAAATAACTTTTTAAAAATTAAAAATTATGGTGGGAGAATGCATGTTTCACACACATCACCTTGACAATCCTATGACTGAAACCTGCCAACTCTTTCCCCATTTTTCCAAGGAAGGAAATGGATGATCAGAAAAGTCAAGTCAAATAGCACAGAGGTGGACCAGGGACTGGAACACAGTTTTTGTTGACATGACCACACCAGTCCCTCCATCCTGAGCAGCCCATCCCTGGATGCTGGTTCACCGCTTCCCTTTCCACCCCCAACAAGAGGTCCCCCTTCCTTTTTCCCTCCCCACTCCTTCTGTCTGGGAGTCAGGGAAAGCAGTTCCAGAAAGTTTGCCACAAGCGGCTTCACTCAGAGGGCCACGTCTTCACTCACGGCTCCCTAGTCCTTGGCAGCTTCTCTCTCAACTCAGAGCCACCAACATGTCCCTGGGGAGGAGGAGACTGTGCCTCCCCCTTTAACCCAGTGCTCTGTGGCTCATCCCAGTACCCCCTAACTCTCTCCTGGCCCTGCAGCTCCCAGGCCTCCTCCCCCAGCCTTTACCTGTCAATTATGACGGGATCTGAGGGCGTCTCATTCCGGTTGCCACAGCTCTTCCGGTCACAGCACCGGCTAAAGGAAAGATGAGGATGGAGGGAAGGAGGAAGTGGGTGAAGGAGAGAGGAGATTTTAGTGTGAGATTGTGTGTGTGGGCAGCCCCGGGGTGAGGGTACTGACATCCTCACTCCCAGGGGCCTGGGGGAGAAAGACAGCAAGGGTCCTTGAAGGGAACCTCAAGAACATAGCCCTGGGGATAAGGTTGGTCAGGAAACCCTTGTCTCAAAGACACCTCACTCCTAGAGGACCAGACCAAGCAAAGTGCAGGCTGCAGGCCACATACAGCGTCTCTCTCTATGGAAGTGCAATCTACATACGGACTAAGTTCAGATGGTAAGCATGCAGCTAACGAATTACCACAAAGTGAACCTGCTCATGTAACGAGCAACCAGGCCAAGAAATACCATGTGACCAGCACGCCAGAAGCCCCCTACTGCCCCTTTCTTATCATTCCCTCCCAAAGGTAGCCATTATCCCAACCACTGAATTTTTTTGTTGTTTGTTTTTGTTTTTGAGTTGGAGTCACACTCTGTTGCCCAGGCTGGGGTACAGTGGCATGCTCATGGCCACCCCAGCGTCAACCTGCTGGGCTCTGGCGATCTTTCCACCTCAGTCTTCCAAGTAGCTGGAACTACAGGCATGTGCTACCACGCCCGACTAGTTTTTTTATTTATTGTAGAGACGAGGTCTAGCCAAGTTGGCTGGGCTGAAGTTTTTTTTAAGACAGGGTCTTGCTAAGTTGCCCAGGCTGGACTGGAACTACTGGGGCCAAATGATCCTCCTGACTCAGCCTCCAAGTAGTTGAGATTACAGGCACCTGGCTACCAACAACAGATTTTGGAACACTATTCTCTTTTCCATGCATCAGGAACTGCCCCAGGACCCTGTATAACTGGCACTTCCTGGGGGAGGCCTTACTAGAAATGCCAAGCTCCGGGTTAATAAGGAAAAAAGAGCAAGAGATGTGTCTCGTTCACCCCACCCCCACTCTGCCACATCTATGCCCTGAGGTTCAAAGTTTCTTCAAAGATTAGCTTCTGAGCTAATCTCAGAGGCCTTCGGGTTGCCTGGCCAAGGCCCTGCTCCCACATCCCCAGTGAACCCCTCCCGGGAGCTTTATTAGTGAAGCTTCCCAGTGCGGCCAGAGGCACCTCTTACAAAAACACTTGGAAAAGCCACATAAACAAGGCCAGGCTAATGAGGCCTCAAGGACCCTCTCCCCAAGCCCGTGCTGTGCCCAGGGGCCTCCCTCCACCCTAGCCTCCCTCCACCAGGCTTCCCCAGGGAGCTGCAGCAGATGGCAGCAAGAGGCAATGGCTGAGGCAAGGGGCGGGGCCGGGGCCTGGCCAGTTGGGAATCCTTGGCAACACCTTGACAAAGGGGCTAGGTGTGAAAGAGACAGCCCATCTCACCTGCACATGATCTCATGGGTGAGCAGCACTCGGCACATTTCGGGGTTCTTGTCCTGCCCCTCATAGATGATGGCCTGGGGGAGGGGGAGGTGCACGGGCTGGAGGGGAAGGAGCCTCCTCTCCAATGCAAGTGGCAACACAGAGACCAGGGGGCAATGCAAGACAATCTGTGGCCCTATACTGACATCTCCCAAGATAGGCAGAAGGAGGCCCTGGCCTCCGGGAAGAGCATGCCTTCCGCCTTGCTCTGGGGAAGCCCAAGAGCACAAAGCAGGAGCTTGGAGCTTGGCAGCCGAAGCGGAGGATGAACCTCCCCCTAAACCAGGATCACCACTGGGGTGACCAGAGTGGTATGAGGCCTGCAAATTCTGTTTATTTGCAGGCAGCTCTTCCCAGAGTTTGCTCTGCTTGGGATCAATGGGGTCCCCAACTAGGACCAAAGTCAGGCAGCTGGTGGGGTAGACACACTCTACTCCTGTCCTGCATCATGCCCCTCCTCTCACCCCTGGGCATTCTCCTGTGTGCAGGCTGTTCCCATGCTCCTCGTGGACCTCTGCTGCTGCTCATGAGCCCTGTCCTTCTCATTATCCCTGCCAGCCAGTCAGCCCCAAGGCTGGCACAGCTGCTTCTTCCTCCATGCCTGTCTCCTTCCCAGCCCAGGCCTGGACTTCCCCTTGGACTGCTGGATCTCCTCCTCACCAGCCTCCTGGCCTCCTTCTCCCTGAAGCAAGGGGAGCTTCCTAAACAGCAAATCTAGCTTCCCAGTTTATAACCCTCCGGGTCTTCCCCCATTTGTGGGCTCCCTCTCCCTCCTCCCTTCCAAACCCATCCCCCACACGGTCCACTTGGCATTGCCTGGCCTGCCTCCCTCATCCCAGTGACCACAGGCCTTCCAGAAACAAATCTAACTTCCTCTGCCCTGGGACTGGGTGGATACTGCCTGTGGAAAGCCCAAGTCTTCACCCTGCATTCCTTGCCCACTAATCTGGCCCATTTGAGACTCTGTCCCCTTCTTCTTCCTAGCACACACAACGTCTCTGAAAAGCACTGAAGCTTGGGACCCTAACTTGGTTAAATGGATCAAGGCCTACTCAGGTTTCAATCACTCCCAACTCGTTATGCTGGACCCCTGAGCCTCCTTCCTGTGAGCAGCACATCAGAAGGTGCCGAGGGTCTGCTGTGGAAGCTCCTGGGAGTCTCAGATCCCCTTTACTGGACAAGTGCCCTGCCCCCAGCTGTGGTTGGTGTTGGCTGCTGAGGGCTCTCTCTTGAGAATTGCTCTCAGTGGCTGGAGCTGTGTGGGCTGAAGCTGTCTGGGAGGTCACACCCTTAGGAGCAGTCCCCAGTCAATGACTGACTGATACAGGGTACAAAATGCTGGCTTCCTTGCTCCAAGCTTCTCTAGAGCTCCCTGTGCAGCTTCCTGGCCTGCTGCCCTCCCCTTCCTCCTGCAAGCTCCCTCCAGTCTCCCCACTAAACTATATGCAGCTGAGTTCCCAACTCAGGCTGGGCTGCTAGAGGGTGTGACCTAAGTCAGGGTCTTTGTACAAAGATCTCTAGGCTAGAGGGCAAGAACAATACAGCCTCCTAGGCAGGAGGAGGAGGATGGGGGAGCCAGACCCAGGGGGATGAAGGGCATGGGGAGGTTAGGGCAGGGACGAAGATGCTCACTCAGACCAAGGGGAGACAGGGTTGCAAGGCGGGATGGGTCTGAGCACCCCGAGGGCTGGCTCACCTGCTTGGACATGGAGTCGATGAGACGCACATAGAGGTCTTGCTCTGTCCGAAGTCCTGGTGGGGGGGGATAGTGGAGAGGGTTTCCTGTCAGGGCAACATCCGCAGCCTCGATGACCAGTCCACACCCACACCCTCCCAGCGCCGACAAGTGGAGCACTGGGTGTTGCACAGGGCTGTGGTGCCCAGACTTCCTCAGGGTCAGGACCAGGCAGGGGCAGTGGCCTTCACTCACCATTGTTATACACCAACCGGAGACGGTAATGGATCCCATTGTTTGTCTTTTCAGCCCCGGGTTCCTGCGGGGACAATATGGAGAGGACACTCAGGTGCTCAGGGACCCTCACCCACTGCCTCCTCCTAGCTCCACCCACTCCACTCCCTTCCAGTCACCCACCCTTCTCCACTCATCCAGCTACCCATGCATCCGCCCCAGAGTGTGTGGGGAGGGGTCCCTCCCAGGGCCAGGCCCAGCCAAGCCCACGAGCCTCTCACTCGGTCCTTTTCCACGAAGTCGATGAAGGCTGTGCGCTCCACCTCCACAGGCTGCCCCTGCCGGTCGTACATGGCCAGCACGAAGTGGAAGAAGTTGGATTTCCTGAGGTTGGAGGGGGGCTGCTTCTCAAAATGTGCCCGTGCCAGGCCCACGCCACTGCAGGAGGAAATGAGCTACAGACCCCTGGGAAGGCCCTCCTGGGGAAAGATGCCAGTCCCTCCGGCTAGGCCCATGCCACTGAGGGAGGGAAGGAGCTGGGAACCACCAGATGGCCTCCCCTCCAGGAAAGGCCCCAATGACTCAGGCCAGGCAGGCAGGTTGGCCAGGACTTGGCTCCAATATGTCAAAAATTTGGGCACGAAATCCACCTGGACGGGTCATTTCCACCCCGGCCAGGACCATCTCGCCTCGGGATGGAGATTCTCAGCACTGAGCTCATCCTAGCCTCTCCCCTTGGGAACAAGAGACACAGCAGATGACTTGGGGGGGCAGCCCGGAGGCCTCCTTCCCAGGCGCTTCCCTGGGCTGCACGATGTCCAAAATCTGAGGTACAAACCAATCTATCTTACTGACCAAAGATCTGTGACTGCCCTGTAGGGCCTCAAGAGGCACTTGGGAGGGCCTGGAACAAATATTCCACTGAACCCCAGCTCACGACTGGGCTTCCATGAGCCTGTGGTCTTGCCTGGGGAATGACAATGTCCATCAGACCCTCAGTGACATCAAACTGGCTCAGGGCCACTAGGCTGCCCAGCCTCGACCCTAGGCTATGGTTGAAGGTAGGAAGCACCCTTCCCAGGTTCGAGGGACCCGCCTCAGGCTTTGGGAAAGACAATCACAGGCTCTCTTGGGCAGGAGGAGCTTTTCGTCTGGCCTTGCCAGCTCTCCCCTGGTTAAGTAGAAACCATGCCCCAAAACAAGGCCAGGGTGAGAGCAGAAGAAAGGGAAGAACCGAGGCCCTGTTCACCAAACATTTCCTGAACTCCAATGATGTACCAAGCATCAGACATATGTCAACAACTGGGAATGGAGTCAAATGCCTCCGGGGGGGGGGGGGAGGAGACAGTTATAGGGAGCTGTGACAAAAGACAGGGACAGATGTTCCCCAAAAGATGTTATCATGCAAAAAACTAGAGAAGCCCAAGGAAGAAAAAATTCTTTTTGTGATTAGAGGAAGACTTCATGGAGGTGGTGGCTTTTTCCCAGGTCCTTGAGAAATAAATAGGAGCCCAATAGGTGGAGGAGGCAAAAAGGCAGAACAAATAGCATAAGAAATAGCTGTATGTCTGAGAGTTGGTGTCAATGGACCATACATTTTAAAAAAGCAGAGTGGGGACCAGGGACTGTATAATGCCAGCACTTTAGAAGGCCCAGGGAGGATCACTTGAGGTCAAGAGTTCATGAACAGCCTGGACAACATAGCAAGATCTTGTCTCTACCAAAATACCAATAAACAAATAAATAAATAAAGAATTAGCCAAGCATAGTGTGTGCCTGTAGTCCCAGCTACTTGGGAGGCTGATGCAGGAGGATTTTTTAAGCCCAGGAGTTGAAGGCTGCAGTGAGCCGTGATCTTGCCTCTATACACTATACTCCAGCCTGGGCAACAAAGTGAAATACTGACTTAAAAAAAAAAGCAGCTAAGTGGGGAGAAAAAAGTTTGTAGTGGAAGTTCATACCAGACCATGCAGGAACACAAACACCAGGGGAAGGAGTTTAGACTTTCTTCTCTGAGCCAGGATCTTCCAAAGTGTGTTCCTTAGATCTCCCATGGCTCCAGAAAAGGGTGCCGTGGCCATAATTACTGGGAAATGCAGTTTCATAGCATATGAAGCTGCATTTCCCAGCAATTTGGGGGCCCTGGGATACCCTCCAGGAATAGATCCTGCTTGAGTTGGCTCCCCATGGCCAGTGCTTCCCATGTGTGGTTCTCAATGATCCCCACCTCCTTTTACTCATGTGTTACATAGTTAGCCCCCTCTCATATTGTGTCTGGATTGGTCTCTGTGGCCAGTAGAATGCAGCAGAAGTGATGGAATACAACTTCCAAGGTTAGGTTGTAAAAGCATTGTGGCTTCTGCCTTGTTCTCTCTCTCGGATCAGCCATTCAAAGGGAAGCCAGTTGCCATGTTGTGAGGACACTCAAGCAGCCCTATGGAGAGGTTCACATGGAGAAGAACTGAGGCCTCTTACCAATAGCCAGCACTAACTTGCTGGCTTGAGCTACCTTGGAAACAGATCCACCAGCCTCAGTCAAACCTTCAGATGATTGCAACCCCAGCTCTCACCTTGACAGCAGCCTTGCGAAAGGCTCTGAGCCAGAACCACCCAGCTAAATGGCTCCTTAGCTTCTGACTCTCAGAAACTGTGTGACATAACAAATGTTTGTTGTTATAAGTTGCTAAGTTTTGGAGTAATCTTTCAATGCAGCAATAGATAACTAATATACAATACTTACTTGACTACAGAGCACTTTTGTTGAAGGATACAGATTGGGAAACATGACTAAAGCCTGCTAGAAAGTTCTGAAACCAGGCAGGGCTTAGAGAATATAATGGAGGGGGGTGTGTGCAGCATGGGGGATGAATAAGAGGTTGCTGCAGGGATTCAGGGAAGAGGATGAGGATGGTGGAACTGCTTTGAGAGCCATTTAGCCCAGCTTTTCCAGATGCCTGGCATGGACATGTGACAATTGCTGCTCTATTCGTCGTTGCTACTTCACATTTGTCTTCATATAACTTTAATGTACTCTTTTGCCTGGCTCCATGCTAAGCTATAACAACTGGAATGTCACGGGCATGAGGGACTTGCTATTGTTTTACTCAGACAGATGATCATAAATATACAAATAATGAAATAAAAATGGTTCCTGAGAGCCTGCTCCCTCAGTGGCCCATGTGACATGCTGACTCAGGAGGCAGAAGCAGTAGATCTTCTTGTCCCCTAATCAAGATGAAGGTGGCCACCAACACCATTCCTTTCCTACCAAAGGTTCTTTCTACAGATGCTCCTTTCCCAGCAACTTTACCCTGGCTCCAGCCTCCCTCTTCCCCTCCCCCACTGCCCTCAGGCTGCAGTCCTTTCTAGTTGAGGCCTTGACCAGCCCCCGACTCTCCTCCCCAGCCAGCAAGAGGAAGGGAAGCCCAGAAGAGGGCTTTCTCACAGCGGGGCCCTGATTGCTGCTGATGAATATGCTAATGAGGCATCAGCCCGGAGCTCCTCCTTCCAGCTCCCAGGACCAGCTTAGTTTGAACTCCACCCGAGGGATGGGTTTCAGGCCACCTAGTGGGAGAGAAGGGCAGAGGAGGTGGGTTTGTGAAGCAATCTCAGGTCCTGGGTCTTTTACTCTGTCATCTAGTCCAGGAAAGATGCCTGGAAGGCTCTCAGACAGCAGGGAGGGAAGCTACAGAGAAAGAGGCCTTGGCAGAGGAGAAGTGGATGCTGAGATATAGCGGAATCTCCTGGACCACTCCACAAGCCCTTCATACACAGACACTCTGCACTGACCAGGTCAATTCCAGACTTGCAGAAGGAATCAATGATTCTGGCCTGAGCATCCTCTCCTACCTATCCCCTGTGGCAGGTATCACCAGTCCTGGGTCCTGGCTGCCCCCCCAGCTCCTGCCAGGCTCCTGTGGACCAGACCTGGGAAGTCTGGCCTAAGCCCCAAGCCAAGCTCCCTTCACAGCATCTGCCTTCTCTGCAGGAGGGGACTGCTGGGGAGAGAGAACACAGGGATCAGGGAGGGGGAAGACAGCAGGGGTCTGAGCCAGTGTCCAGTGCTGCCAGCTGAGGTTATGAAGGGGACGGCCTCACATGCCTGTGACCTGCCCCATAGCAGGGTTGGGCTCAGTTCCACCACTGTTGAGGCATTTTAGAGTAGCATCCTGCCCTTTCCCACCATGGCTCAATAGAGCTGAGGCACAGTCATCCTCCCAGGCTCACGCCTACCCGGTGGGGCAGCACTGCTGGTTTACAGCTTCAGGACAGGGTTCTTGTTGTGGACAACAACAGAACGATATTGATGACAGCCCCAGCCCCCTTGTGGCCAGGGGAGGATTGCCAAGTGAGCAAGATCTCTGCAGGGCACACGCAGGGCTGCTCCTTGCCTGGGAATGTCTCCAGCTTACACTGTTCGTAGCCCTGCCAGACTTGGAGAAACTCGAGGTAAGACGAGAGAAGGTTTTGTTTTAAAGACAGTCTAGTATTTCCTACAAACAAGAGAGAAGAACAGAGAGCCACAGAGGCAGGTGTGGAGGGCGCCTCCATCTCCTGATTGACTCCAAGGTCCCCCTGCCCCCAACGTGCAGGAGGTGACCAATCAGCACCTGTTGAATGGGATTGCAAGCCCCAGAGGGGCAGGGCTGGGAAGGGTGAAGGGGAGGTGTTTTTCATCCCTTAGGAATAGCTGATCCTCTTGTAACATGAAAACAAACCCAAATTAAAGAACAGAAAGAAAGAAACACAGAGATAAGCTCAAACAACCCAGGAGGTGCTGAGTGGTCTAATTAACCCAGATGGGCACATTCTGGGTGCAGATGTGTGGGGTACAGATGGGAAGCAGAGGCTGCTGTCTGCTCTCAGACTGGCTTAGAGGCAGGAAAATGTGGCTCAAGGCCAATGTCTCTGAATCTGTGGTCTCCAAAGTGGGGCGGCCCAGGACAACCACAGGGGTGGGGTGGGGGAAACTTTGAGGATATCTGTTGATATGTATCCTTAATCTAAAAGAAAGAAAGATGGAGGGAAGGGGGAATGGAGCCCCCGAAGCCTGAGAGGCAAGTGTTTTATTTGGGTGCCCCTGGAAGCAGACCCTGAGACAAGGATTCAAATACCAGCAGTTTATTTGGACAGCGATTCCAGGAAAAACCGAGGGGCGTGGAGTGAGTGGTTTGAAAAAGATGGATAAGCAGTCACTAAAGGGTGCATCTCCAACAAGGTACCACTAGGGGCACCTGGAGCTCAATCCCGTTGGTACTGACTCTGGAAACAGAACAGCATATGTGCCAGAGGGATGGGTGAGAGAGAGCTGGGGTACTTATCCAGTCAGTCGTTGGTTAAGGGCGTCCAGGGCTGTTACTCTTCAGGTACTCGTGGCCTGCCATGTGAATGGCCAGAGCAGGCTCTGGCAGCCTGAGCAAGCCCTCGAGCAAAGGGGA